AATAATTATTTATTTATTCGGAATCATACCTTGGTAGTACGGTATACCGCCGCGCACGAAAAGTGACGGCCGCGCCCGGGCTGGTACCATCCGCTGCCATTCTGCGCCCGGTACCGTCCAAACAAAACTCTTCGCTGATACTGACAGCCCGGCCCAGGTGATCCAGGGCCCAGGCCGGCTGAGCCAATCCACAACAGAATTTTGCGCATGGTTTCCCTCAACATGCAATCTTTAAAATTGTGGTGGAGAGATTGTTCATTGAGCTTGGTGGAGCTCGAAGCCTTGCAGCTTGGTTCGGAATGCACAGGACAACGTTATTTTGCCTGAAGAGTTTGTGGCAGACTTGGCAACATGGCGCTGATGACATCTTCGCTGGATATGTTTGTGGTGTGTGTTTTGTTTGGAGTGCGGGTCGAGTCCCGTCTGCTTAACGCAAATGGGACGGTGGATGCTGAGGAGATCTACACTGTTTGCACCGCCAACTTCCCTCCCTACGTGGCATGCATTGAGGGGGACTCGAGCCCCACAAATTTTTCTGGTGAGCAACATGAGCCTGGACAGCCTGTCTTCGAGAGTCTTCGAAAAGAATAGCGAGTGGCTGTGTACACATCGTCAGCCATCAATTTGAGCAGCTGTAATCTGCATGCTGACTGGCAGCCAGACGTTAAGCGGAGACGGAGGGGCAATGCTGTGGAAAACAGTACGCTTTTGGGGTTAAATTCAAATGCTTCTGGGTTAGACCAATATTAGCAGATTCCTCACTGCGTCGTGGATGGCTATAAGCTCCACGATCTTAGCCCTTAGGTGTTCGTGCATTCAGTCGCTTAGGATCGGCTGACCCTTCAATAATGGATCGACTGCCTGTGCGCGCAGTGTTATGAAGGTTCCACTAACAAATCATCATTTTGAGTCTGTTTACGACGACGCTTTTCCAATCAAGATCAAACCTGTGTCCAATGCTGCCCATTAGAATCACAGTAATATAACTACATGGCCATGATTGGTCAAATGCTGATCCGAAGCAGAGCCCACAAAGCTTGCAACTCAAATCGGTACCGGACAGTGCAAGCAGGGAGGAACGAGTCCAGCATTCACCTGAAAAAGGGGATTTGATCAAATCGCTACGTATCTTATCGATGTTAAAAATCTTCAGAGCACCCATCTTCTTATAGAAAAAACTTCTGATATGGAAACAGTATCAAAGCAATTTGAGATAGGGCTTGAAACCTGCTTCTGATCTTCAATCTTGGCCACCACTGTAGTTTTGCAGCAATCATACTTGTCGTCCACCTCAGATATTCTATTGTCTCTACTATTTTCTAGGAATCTGCGCAAGTAAATCAATGCAACACTAACCAGCCACATTTGACCTGCTTATCATTGGCACCGCACGTGACTACAGGGAGCAAGAAGCTTACCCAAAGCTCTCACATACCGGCATCTTGAAACACTAAAGAGAACTCTTGCAGTAAGTTTGAACCATGTTGTGCAGGCTATTCCACGGAAATGTTTAAGCGTGCGGCGAGCAAGCTAGGTTGGAAGGCCAAGAACTATCGGCTTCTTTGTCTTCCCTTCAATGACTTGGTCAATGACTTGACGGACCCCGATGGCACATGCGACATGGCGACAGCTGCCATGACGGTAGGCTATGGCTGTCAACATAGCTTATATCCCTTTGCAGCCTTGCATCCCCTTCTGTTCCTTCACGCCAATCTTGCAAACAAAGCCCTAGTCCCACAATAGAGTCTGCGTGGCTTTCTGAATCAAGACACTCAAAACAGCCCCTGCTTAATGTAACGTTTGAACAAGCAGTGGTTTGCTTGCAAGCAATAATATAGTGGACCATCAAGGATGCATAAACATGGTTCTGCAACTTGACTATATGGCCGGCTGCAGAGAAAAGAGGGGAGGAGCAAAGACAGCTGTGATGTAGAAAGGCTCTGGTATGCTACATCATGCTAGGCCTGCATTTGATAAGACTTTGCTAAATGTTGACTGCCTTCCTTATCCATTTCAAAATGCTCTGTGATGTCCAGGTCCAACTTGAAAGTATTGAAAAAGGGATCCAGTTTGCATACCCAGACTACCACACAGGTCAGGGGCTGATGGTAAGGGGCTCTGGCTGTTTGGTGCAGATGTTTACTGGCTTATTGTGATTCTTGTCAAAAGGAAAGGTTTCCCTGATTTTCTGCTGCAAAACAGGAGAAATCTGCAACTTTACGAATTTGTGTCCCAGCACCCGCTCCTACGCAAAAGAATCGCCTTGAGAAAGATGCGATACAATTGGTCTGCGTAGCGCACGGCAGCTGAGTGTTGCCACCATGTTTCTGGCGCTGCCACAGGTTTATACCAGTGGGGTCAAGACCAACAGGTGGCTGTTCCTGAAACCTTTCAGCTGGGTAGTCTGGTTGTTCCTATTTCTCGCTGGTAAGCCCACAACCCAGACCTTGAGCTGCTGGGTTGTGGAACCTGAGGCAACTGGGAGACTGGCATTCTATGTATATATGCAATCTCTCTGCAAGACCAAGAAAACCATCCTGCTGCGGGGCATTCTGTTCGCTGGACAATCTCTCCAAAAAACGTGCGCGTCTCTACTGCGGCAGCGCTTGCGGTGGGGGTATCGGCACGTGTGGTGGAGATAATAGCAAAACCGAAGGCAGCAGAGCCATCAGAGGGCAAAGAAGACGAGAAAGCGGGCGTTGGAGAGCTTGTCTGGTCTGGTGAGTCTGACTCTTCTTACCCAAACGATCCCAGCAGCGGAGTTGGTTAAACAAGCAGCCCAATACGATCTGAGTCAGATTCCTGGTAGACTCGTTACTGGACTCGCCCAGCCACGGTTTAGGCATAGGTGAAAAGCTGCCAGCTGATAAGCGGCCAGAGCACATGCCCCAGGACGACAAACACTTGGGTTCAGAACCATTCGTTTCCCAATTGACGTTCAAAAACATATGGCATGGGGGCATCCAGTAATGAGCCAATTCGGTGCGACATGGTATTGAGACGCTTCCAAGCTATTCTGACGTTGTCGAAAAAGTCGCTTCAATGCTCCTGCCACATGAGCAGTGCTAATTGCCAGTACTACGACAATATATACTGTTTGTGAGATGCCCTTTCTGCCGCTGCCTGCAGCGGGCGCGCAGATCGTGAATGCGGCCGAACCAATGCAAGCCTTCTCTATTCCGTCCCGGATCATCATCTTCGTTTGGGCGTTTCTCATCCTCCTATTAGTGGCGATGTACACCGGAAACGCCGCGGCAATCCTGACGGCTTCAGCGGTCGACGTCAGCATCCAGTGTGAGCATAAGAACCCGTTTGATGCTTTCAGAAGAGATGACTGCAAATTTGAAAAGGCTCGGTGGAGACTACTTGAGAACCAGTTGCTACGCCCAAGGAGTCGGGCTGATCTAGATGACAGATCCAGCGCTTTGCTGATCTTGACTCAGAGGGCAGCCTCAAGAGCGTCGGGAAGGGACAATTTAGATTTCAAGGTACGAAATGAATTGAGTACGATCTCAAGACCGGTCTTGAAACGATCGAGGAATCAACTCGTAAGTAGGTAGGAGTGATGCGTCGAGGGCTTGGAACGCTATGGCATGACTCGGTAGGACGAAAAGCTCTGAAAATAGACCGTAGGTTGACGTTCCTCTTTTCAGCGTTTTAAAAACCCTGAACTTATTCTGTCGGTTTTGGTCCTCGAAAGCCTTGTTTCCACTGTAAGTCGTCCACGGAATCCCTCTGATGGTGCTTCTTTGGACCGGAACAATGCGCTGATGCAGCGGCCGAATTTGCACCGCAAACGCTTGGCACTGTTTGGACATCCTCTTGTTATCAAGGGAGAATTGCGCTAGCTGGTTAGCGGGTGTTTACATCGTTGTTCGACCAGCCTTTCTCGCGGTGAAAGGGCCTCTCAACGTGCCAGATCAGGCTTGGTTAGGTGGGAATCTTGGCGTGGTTCAGAAAAGATAGCCTGCTGGATCTATCTGAGATTGACGGGCGCTGGGGCTCTGATTGTCACTTGTGGATGCTGTCCTTGCTGTGCAGCTATTGACGATCTCCAGGGGAAGAACTGGGGAGCCTACCAATTCACGATTGAAATCATGCACCTTAACGGGTGGAACCCCACAGTTTTATATGACCCGTGAGTGTGGGCGCGCTCCAACGATCGTCCGAGTCTTTGTCACGGAAAAAACCCTAGGTGACGTCACTTGATGCTAACATGCAGAGTGCATGTGACGTTACCGCTTGTCGCAGCTAGAGCGCCTTCAATCCAGGAATCTGAATAGTGCTGTGACTCGTTTGATCGCATTTCCGTGAGTGGAGAGTCGGCAGAGCTCATCTTCTGAGTGTCATCTTCTAAGTGCTCTTGGTGGCACAACTTTACGTTATGTCCGTCGCTTCTGCCTTGACGAAAACCTCTGCTTTGCAATCCAAAAGAGTCACGGCTCTGGATGTGTCGGACATAGGGCTGTAAACGACCGCTTCTCAACGCCTCTTCTGGTGCAAAATGGTTTCTCTGTCAATTCAAGCCGCCGCTGGACAAGTACTTCGCTCGAGAGTTCCGCGCGTCGTCATGCCTGAACGCCACGTGTCACATCTGCAATCTGTGCAACAGGCAAACCGTGGCCGAGACGGACCACATGCTCGACCAGCTGGAGAGCGGGGTCATTGAGGGGCTCGTCTGGGACTGTGGATTCGTGGATTACATAACGGCCACCCGGTGCAACTTTTACAAGGTACGGTACACAGCACACTATGTCCCGTTCAAGCTTGCTTGGTTAACGGGCAATCAACCAGCAGTTACCACGTACTTTTGGTGAAACAATGGAACCAGCCACTTAAAGCAGATTTGCTCAACGGGGTGGTTTCGGATTCCGGCCTCCACCGAGTCTGAGCAAGTTTGGTAACATGCAGAACGTCCCCGTGAAATTGCAGCCTGACATTTGGGGCTGTGGTTCAGTGATAAGCGTGATGGGAGGTCTTGTGATTGGTCGGAATGGTGACGCCCCTATGCATCGGGGACTCTTCGATCCTTTCTTGCTCAATGATTACGTAGCTTTAACGTGCTCGATCCACAATTATCGTCGTACCAGAACATCTGCTTCTCGACGATTCCGGCCCGCTTCGGAATCTTTGCATTATTTGTACTGTTCGTCAATTCCAAGACAAGATGATTGACGTTGCATAAGGATAAGCGGTCCTCTGTAACTACTGGCGCAGCGTACTGTGACGGCCAACAAAAGCCTTCGACGAATCCCTAATGCTTTTTGAACTCAACAGATTTGGTCCTTACCGAGTGTTGGATAACAGACATTCGACGAGACATCAGCCACCGTTCTTCAGAAGGGCGGCGCCACTAAGCGGTTTGCTAACTCGACACTTTCGCTCTCTCTTCTCCGCAGGTCGGAGACTGCATCACGGAGGACAACCGCGCGATGGCGTTCTGGCAGAACGCCACAGCGTCCTTGGTCAACGCGTTCTCCACTGCGGTCCTGCAGCTCGAAGCGAGCTCGGAGCTGTCGCACATCCACGAGGTGTTCATCAAGCCGACGTCGACGATCTGCGAAAGCGAGGCGGCCGGCGATCAGCAGCAGGTCACGTTCAACCAGGTGAGGATTAATGGTCGCAAAAGCGTGTCAAACAGGCGGACCGCAGAACCACGGAATGGCTGGGGGACGACCACGAATCGCAGCGCTGCGTTCACATTTTGACGTGAAATGATCGCTCTAGATCTTTCGTTTGCATTTGGTTAGGCAAGGTTTGTCTGAACCCCAGTATCGGAACCAGTCCTGCCAAAGTGTGCGACCCCCTGGATAAACTTCGCAGACTGGAGTCCTTAGGGTGAATCGGACGGTGGCGCTGCGGTTTTGACCATCGCACAGTTCTGCGGTCCGCCTGTCAGAGACCGAGTTCACAACGTTTCCATTTTAGGGAAGGGCTCGAAAGGTAAAGAATCCAAGAGATAGCATTGGAGAGAAGTGCTCAACGTCGCGCATGAGAGATGATCAGCAGCTGACTGCAGGTGTCAATCGACCAGCGTAAAAGCTTCGAAGTGTTGCGGTCGAGAAGTGACACACAAGGGTTTGTTATGGGCTTGCTTTCATGCGGAGATTAAAACCTCTAAACATAATGTGATAAGCGGTGCAAGCGAACGGCAGCCCACAGCCGGCACTTTGTACGTACAAAAAAAGAAGCGCTATGCTTACGAAATTTTCATTGAGAGATGGTTGCGAGCTTGCTGTGCGCAGAATTGAGAAGTCTGTGCAATCCTGCGTGATCCGGCCCAGTTCATTCCAAACGATGGCTTGCAATCCTGGACCATCCTGACGTACGAAAAACGTCGAGTTGTTTCGTTTAGGGCATTGAGCCCATAGCGCCTTCGCCTAGTGTCATTGTCAGTGGATGCAATAGCGGTGTCAAACCTCTACTTGAAGAAAGCCTACCTTCACCTGATTCTCGGTTTGTATGTTATTCCTTGAGGATGCACCAAATGAGCGGTCGAAAAGGTGCGGCAGAACAACGACAGTTTACGGCGCACATTGCCCCAAAGCTGGTGAATAGCAGTCTTATCGTCGTGTAACCTTCTGTGCAGGTTTCCGGCCTTTGGATTGTTCTCACGGCCACGATTGCTTGGTCGATGCTGATGGCCTTCGTAGCTCGCCACGTAAAGCTGACGCATCTGCACCGGCTGTACAAGAAAACTCTGTCCAGGGAAGTGGGCAAGGAGCTAGGAGAGATTGACTTGAAGCAAGCCACAGTGATTGACAACCCGGTCGCCTTCCACGGTCCCTGAAACTATCATGGCTTAACAGGGGCTCTGAGAACTGCGTAACGTAAGGTATTGTAAAATATATCGGTGAATTTCAATTGTAATAACAAGTATGTTTGTGCGAGAAGATAAAATGACACTCAACATGAGGGACGGGATCGACGCCTTCTTGGAGAGCGCTAGGTGGGCTCGGTCAATACAGTCAAACGAGAGTACTTCCAGCTGGTTCTTGTCGCGAAAAAAGTTCCCTGGTGTGGGTTGTCTTCGATTAGAAGGCAATCGACTGAGTTAAGTTAGGCACACGAGACAGAGCAGTCGACCGCATATTGTAAGAATTATTGAAGATATGTTGAAGCTTGAAGTCCTAACCTAATCAAAACGTCAGTTTTGAGGACGTCAGGACATGCTACAATACTAGAGCGGACTTGTGATACGACATACTGTTATTCACAGAATTGAGTACCAGGACAACTATATGCGTGTCTGTAATGCATCTGTCCCTCGGCCCGGTAGCACTGTGGGAGGTGACAGTCATTCTGCTTGCATAAGCTTATAAAACTTGACAGCTGCTTATTTGAGGACCAAGCTGCAGGCCGCACGGCCGCCCAGACCAAAATTGTCTTGGCGTGTTCAGATCAAGTGCATTGATGAATCTATTCTGCGAACGTGTTGGTTACGTCAAGAAACTGGCATTTATCCACCTCGAGTTGTCCATGTTGTGGTATAGAAAGCGCGCGGTCTTCGACGATTCTGAACTGTTGCGGCTCGATCTCGCAATGGTAAAAGCTATCTGAACCCCTCGTGAATCTTTCATTAGGCGCAGCCCGGCCACGGGCATTAATGAACACGTGCTGGCAGGTTTTGTCAGAGGAGCTGTTGCTGAATTCCGTGCTAGCTGCGCCTGCGTCGATCTCTCGGAGTCTGCATTTCGATTAGCGTTCGGAAGCTTTCATGCATTGATGTGCATGGTGTACGGTATTATACTTGCGTGGTCAGCCCAGTGCTCGTCGGACTCATCCGGAGTCCGACCAGTTCATGGCTTGACCATGCGAGTAACCGTCTGAGTTGCACATGCCATAGGTCGTCAATTGGGTTGCCAGCTGGTCCCTCTAAAAGACATACGCACGATGCGCAGGGTGAGGGTCCAGGGCGCGCGCCTGCGCGCGCATACATGCATCATGCATATGAAGACTAGCGCCGCGCTTGGTAGCTCTTGCCTGTCGGACTAAACCTGGTAATGGCCCATGGCCCACTATATGGTCGGTGGGAAAATCTACAGTATTTTGAAGGCCCACGTCGGTGGGCCCGGCCGCCAACGACTCAGAACTAGACGTATTTGCTGCATATTGCATGAAACTTGAAAGAGCACGCGGCAGCGCATGAGCTATAAGGCAGCGCGCCTGCTTCATGCGTGCAGGCCGCCCTGCTGAGGCCGCCGCGCGCGGGCCAGCCAAGCTAGTGGCGCCCTGATTATAGATCAAATATAATCAAATCATATATAAGGCATGTCGGATAGGCACGTGCACGTGCACGTGCATGCTGGTATGTACTAATTACTTTGTTGAGGTACGTGCCGGACCATCTCATAAGTTGCAATGTCGGATCTATGAAAGTTTGAATCTTTGGCCGCGCCCGAGCTACCACCAATTGTCCGGTTGGGCAGATTTGCGCCCAATAATGAAATTCGTATCTCATGGATTTTGGGCAGCTTCATTTATCCATTTATTTTGTTTTTTCACGCGGGGCAAAATAATCTGCAAATCTGTATTTCGAATTTATTTTCAATTCAGATTTTTGGGCAATTGTCAACGAATATTTTATTGTTGCCCAACCGGACAATTGCGGTAGTTCCGAGTCAGAGCCTGCTGTAGCTGACGCTTAATTGTCAACCTCTCCGTACAGTCTGAAATGACGTGCCAGATTGATCTCAACTTGGCAGTGGCAAGCCGATCGGGCAGCTAGTTCAATTCTTAGTTCAAGGCGGCCTCCCGGCCATCATTGTTGGCCGCGGAAGCGCGGCCATTTTCAACTTCCGAATCATTAAAACTTCCAGATGCATGGTATTTAATAATTTTAGTGGGATTTCGCTGTATAAACCGTCGCCGGGTCGCGGAGTCCATTATACGGACTTTCACTGATATGCAATTACGATCTACGCTAACAAGTAGCTAGAAGCTGGTACGGGTCAGGCAAGCACTGGGGCTATGTAACACGAAGTTGTGTCGGTCCAGTGCAGGTCCGTAGGGCATGGCTGCCTGTGTAATGTGGGCACTCCTGGCTGGGCCTTCGCAAACCATCCGGTACTTGACATCGAGAACATGCACAATAGCAAAAGAATAAATAGCCAGCTCGTGGGAGTATACGTCCAAAGTCCCGAAAGTCAACAGGGGACATAGTACCTTACCAGACTGCGTGCACCTCTTTCTACCCTAACATTCATTTCCTCTCTGAAGCCGCCGCTTTTATAAAGCACCTAGCAGCAGCTTATTCTTGCAAAGTGTTTGACTCTATGCTGCACCTCGCGATACACCCCAGCGCACTGGAGTTGGTCTTACCTAGAACTCTGAGGAACGCTACATCTCTTCGGAAATTACCACCAGAGCGTCTCCAGGCTTGAAGGCGATGGGGCTCGTTTTTGGGACAGGGTTGATAATCTGCAGGCGAGGGGGAAAGTGTTACAAAACAAGCAGCTCGCGAAACCTATCTGTGTGCGCCGACCATAACATGCCTCCTGTTGGCGAGCGACAACTGTTTTGATTCTGCTGAGGACACTCAGCGGTTGGCGCCGAACAAACCTAAACGGTCATGGTGCAGCCCAACCAGCCAAAATCGCAGAAGATGCTCACGTCATCATACACGTACACCATGGACTAGGGCAGCGAACGCCACGACGTTTTTGTTCTTTGTGTGTCTACCTGGGCTCCATTTTACTCTCTGAATCCTCATCCAACTTGGTCAAAGTTGGAAGAAAGCAGGGCGTAGAACCAAGCATGTCAGGCTCGATGGGAATCGCCAAAAAGCAGAGCAAAGCTCACATCTTTTGAAATACACGCCAAGTCGATCTGCTTGCAAGCGGCCAGACGTCGACAAAATCTCCCACTTCAAAAGGAGAGAATCGACCTCTGAACGGTTTTTCGGGTGGCCCTCACCACTTCGGGTCCGAGCCGGTACCCGATGGCCACCTCTTTCCTGGACGCTGCCCGCTCGGCAAGGTCCTGGAAGGTGGGGGCCTCGTCGGCGCCGGCGTAGATGCTGCTGTCCTTCACGTATACTGCACTCGCAAGAGAACACCTGTCAGCACGAGGCGCGCGACCCGTCACATCGAAAACGTGTCGATGGTCTGAGTAACAGTTCCGGGAAGAAGGTTCTCGACAAGGCAGTCTGCTAAAGCCAGCAGAAAACATTCATAGGATCTGGGGGAACCGTTGCTGCTCAACCTAAGATGATAGGCCGACGAGATTCAGTCATGTTCCTTATAATCAAAGCGGATGGAGACTTCAGCTTGGAACGAGGCGTTGATCCACGTATGTAACTTATCGATATACCGGGCCTTGGCTTCAGAGTTCTAAAGGGACGTGCAGACAATCCTCAAAGAAGAGACTACAAGAAAGGTGCTTGGATGCTGCACTGAATCTCAGTGCACATAGTATCTGTACACCACTAACTTCTGACCGCGCTTCCTACCTACTGGATTGCACTCGAGCGCCTCTTCCGTAGTCTTAGGAGACTTCAACCCCGGAAACTAACAACACAAGGCGGGCGTGGAGCGTTCACCTTCTGAGCCCCAGGAATTGAGGAGCTCCGTCCACACCGCGTTCAGCTCCCGATGCTCTGCAACTGCCAGGAGAAGATGAAGAGCAGCTTCAGCGTCACATGCGGAATTTCTTGGAAATGAATGATCAGGAACCGTCGACTCTTGAAGATCAGTTTTTTAAGCCCGCTTTGCGCATCAACCATGATTTAGAAGACGAGATTTGACTCAGAAGGAGAAGGGTCTTGCTCGAGAAGTGCAACAGGCGAACTTCGGAGGGGTCTGCCAATTGTGTTTCACATAGAATTTCCACGGAGTCTCCGAGGCTCCTTATTGCACCCTGTCAGCACCGCAAGTGCCGACAGCGTCAACAAGCGATTTGAAATGATTTTAAGAGGAGTTGGCCTCTGCTTGAACTTTATGCGCCACAAAGGTTCTGCCCGAGTTGACATCAGCAACAGCGTGTGTGACGTGGGATGCTTGCCTTGTGACGTGAACAGCCCCATCAATTCGCTCGTGCCAATGTAACTCGCGGAGGGGTGCGCTCTAACAACCTGCAAGGACGACGTCATTGGACGGGGTCAGATATTCCTGAAAAGATGACCACGCAAGAGCTCCAGTACTCTTTTGCGCGGCTGAAATGAAGAACGAAGACGAAGACAACTCCGGACCCGGCTTGAAAGAGGCTTCAAAAGGCTGAAGGCCAAAGCGAGCAACCAGAGCAGGAGGCGAAAAGCGTCAGAAAGACAATCGTCTACCAGATGCACTTTGTCAGCCCTTGCCGCTTGCCACAGAAACATTTGCTGTCTGTCTCAAGCAAGAGAGCGGGAGGTTAGGCCTGCAATCGTCAAGCGACGGTTGAAAGCCCAGCCCCACTTTGAAAGGCAGCATGACTGAGGATTGCGTAGAGACTCTGTGGGCGGCTAATTAGGCGGAACTTAGGGGGGCATCCCCCTCCACCAGGAGATGTTTTCGGATCCAGCACTTGCCATCGACGTCCCAATGGTTCAGGCATTTTCTGACGAGTCTGAGGCCCTAGGATAAGAGCTGTGGGGCCGCCGTACCTGATCTCCTAAACTTGAGTCCACCAGTTCGGCCGTCAAACCGACCAACTGCAAAAGACAGCAAGGATGTTCACGGTTGTCCAAAGACGCTTGCCTGCCAAGCACAGCAATTGCGTCAGTCCGCCCTATGGCAAGCACAGAACAATCGCAACCAATATCTCTAAGGATCGACCTCGCATGAAGCAATTGAGATTGGATAGGAGTTGCGGGTGGAAAGAACTGATGTAGCTGAGGGAGCGAGCGCACTGCTTCTTGATTGCGGCAAAGGTTGTGTGTCCGAAGCTCAGGCCGACTCCGCAACCTTTTTAGATAGGTCTAGTCACGGGCCCAGTCAGTAGGGCAGACCTCACGCAGAAATTTAAGTGGCAATATGCTGCACCGAAAACTCCTGAAGATGACGCACACAACGCCGATGGCTCGCTGTGGCTTTGACCTCGTCTATTGCCGTCTTATGTTGCACTCACCGGGAGGTTGTTCTGCCGGCAAATAGCTTCCGCCTGCAGCAACGCGAAGATGGACCGCTTGTCCGCCCGACTACCTGGAGCAGCGAAAGCAGGAATAGCAAACGCAGCAAATCCTTCCGCAAGATGCACCTTCTATCTCGAACCGATGGGCCAACGAGGTAGTCCTGCTAGTGTGCCACAAGACGTCCAACCTAGGGTTTTCCTGGAAAAACCCTGGATCTAGAAAGTCAGAGGTCCTGCGGGTTTCTTGAGGCATCTCCTAAAGCAGCGCATAAGCCACTGGGTCTCTTAAGGCGAGTGTGAAAGCGACTTTTGTGCGACTCTATGGGCGTGTCAAACTCAGTACGAATCTCCTGAAAGGATGTTCTTGGTACCTTCTTGGTCCCAGGAGCTGTCGGAGATGACGGCGACGGACAACGGAAGGTTGTCCTTTTGGATCTCCTTCTGGCTTGCGGCGTCCCACCCCAGGATAGCCGCTGCTAACTCGGGATTGGAGAGCGGGTTACCTACCTGGAAGCAAGGAAATCTGGTTAGCCTGACAGCTTAGCGATTCAGGTTGTCAATCTGACAACAAACCCCATCATTGAAGCTGGAATTAAGGCAGAGAGAGTTTAATAGCAGTTCCGGACTGCTGCAATCATTGACAATAAAAGGAATCAGAAGCCTCTTCAGGGGCTGAACTGCCAAAAGATTTCCCATCTTTGTATTTGAGGTGCCAGTTGGCTGCAAAGCAGCCGAGGGAGTCGGTTTCGGAGGCTCACTCTATGCGTGACCTTGATGTTCCGGAGGTTTTTGATCTCTTGCATGACGAGCATGCGTTTCTCCAGGGGGGTATCGGACAGTATCACCTGCACAGGTGCCGGCTTGTCGGTCAGATTGAGCATGCTAAGTCATATTTGCAAGGGCGACTTTACACTCTCAAAACGGCTCCAGAGTAGTCTTGCTTGTGGGCCCCCGCGAATTCAGAAGAACAGACAATGAAACACCAACTGTAGAGCAAGTTCAGTAAACAAAGTGCGGATCTTAGAAGCAATCAGCAGAGGCCATCCCTTTTCCCCCTGGTCATCTGCATGTCAATATGGTAAAGCAACTTGCGGACCAATATAACCAAGCTAGTAAATCTATGTGGCCACGCTTGCTAAGTTGCTAGCAACATGCCACAGGCTGTTTAACGAGCCTGCAACAGAGCAGAAAGCTTCCTCATTCCGGTCTCAAAAACTTCACTAGTATAAGTCAGAAGAAAATTCATCTTCAACGAGGAAATTGCCAAAAAGCAGATCCTTCTCCCTTTGCCATCCCTACAAACACGCCTCTCTCACCCGCTCTTTAGTATCGCTCCAGATACGAATTGCAAGCTTACAAGGTCGACCCCGCCAAAGCTGCTGCTGTTCTGGTGCTTTTGCAAAGCACTCTCCCTGTCCTCACCAGTTCGCTGCCCGCTCCCAGGTAATCGTCGTACTCTTGTGCCATCTCCGCAACGCCCGGCCTCCAGCCACACAGCAACACGCGCTCACGAGGGGGGCCAATACCAGAGACCGCCTGCACCCAAAAAGTCCGACAGTAAATACGGTGAACCGCACCGTGTCCATCTTCCGGGAATATTTTCTGACGCTCACAAATGCACTGAACTCCCCCCACAAATGTGTCTACCGAGCGGACCGGTGCGAAAAGGCAGCTCTTGAAGGGAGGTTTTCCCCTGCTCCGTTATCATCACAAGAACGGGGTGGGGGAATATCAGCTAAGAACCCCGTCGCATCCACCTTCATTTCACCCATTGATTTCGCGTCGGCCCTTATCTGCGGCCATTTTCCAAAGTGAAGGATGCCTCGTGCTACAAAATCTCTTTCTCACAACCAGCCAGTTTCATCGCGCAAGACCCACCTTGGAGCCCTTGAGCTGGTGCCGGCGGGGCAGCGTCTCCGCCGCGTTCTGCAGCACGGCGTCTGTCTCTGTGTCCTGAGAGCACGCCTTGAGAGCGTCCAGCCGCGCCGCCAACGCATCGGGGACATGTCGATGCGTATGCTTGGGGGCAATCACCATCAACTGAAAAAAATACCACAGGGAAGCTCAGCTCAAGGAATTGTGACGGGGCTCTCGGGTGTTGTCAAACGATGGATGTCTGGACAAGAGCAACTGAATCCGCTGCCCAGCCGAGTGAGAAGAGGAAAAGAGACGCACTTCAGAGCGGAAACAGGTTTTCTCCTTTCGAACGCAGGGCAGTCAATGAGGTGAAGAGATGACAGTAAGGGACTGATCTGAGACATCTCGGAAATCTTTACCGGAGGTTCGCTATCGAACCCATCTGTCAGAATTGACATGCTGGCGCAGAAGCAAGCTTCTCAACGAGGCTAAGAAGTAGTGGGCTCAGCAGATGCACACTGACATAAAGTCTCGTTGTAGAAATCGAAAAGCACACTGGCGAGCACACAGGTCTCCTTCAAAGACGCGCCGCGTGGCTCACCTTGTCCATTCCTTCGAGCTTCACGTTGTCCTTTGGGTGGAAGTGCACATGCCCGTCCCGGATAATGCCGCAGATGACGGCCTGAACGCAGATAGATGACGTCAGCCTTTGCCGCGTGACTTGACAATGAAAAACACGACACCGGGACGAGGACGACAACAAAGCGAACTCTCACCAGATTGCCGCTCATGGGTTCACGATGGACGATAGGAAAACCTAGACGAGTACAATTCCAAGAAAAAGTCTTACCACCCTGATCGATTCTATAAGGTTCAACGTGAGCCTTCTTCATGGAAGGGCAGCGTGCTTGTCGAACATCTCGCAATCGTGAGGGTCAAAGCTTCACCTCCGTGAAGCCCCTTCTGACATCTCGGTACTTGACACGGGCGAGCTGGGGGTAGTTGCGGATGTTGATGACCTCGTCTGCAGTACACGAAATGACCAAATCTCAACCCAGCCCAAAAGACCCCTCACCTCGCATCAGTCGCCGCTGATGATAGTTTGGTAACATGGTAATCATTGGGTGACAAAACCCGCGAGTCGAAGCCAAGAACCGCACGCAGCACCTCAGGAGCAACACAATGACGGCATGCTACTTACACCGCGCAAAGCGAGAATCTCACGCACTAGCTCAGAGCAACACGATAAGAGCATGTTATTCCCACCATAAATATCCACAACGAGCTAATATGTGTGGCTACGGTGGTCACCTTCGTGGTCCATGAGCTTGCGGTAGACGTCGATGAGCTTGCCCTGGCGCGTGCACTGCACAAACAGCTTGGCCGCCAGGTTCTGGACGGGGTGCACGTCCATGCTGCCCAAACTCTTCACCAGGTCGATCGTGCTCGGCTTGGTTACCTGCGAGTCGCAGCGGATTAAGGACGGGTTACGAAGGGGTTTGTTTGGTAGGGAAGACTCTGCGTGGGTGATTGTGTTACCAGAGCTTCACGAATCGAACGTACTCGACTTCGTCAGTTGCAAACGAGGTGGGGTTAAGCCGGGCTTTACCTGGAGGATGAGAGGATCGGTTTGCGGAAGCTGCCGGTTTTAACGACCATTTTCCACCAAGTTGCGTCAACCTGAACCTGGTAAGATTCAAACAGCAGCTTGAAGGACCGGGTATCAGAATCCTTATTAAGCATCTGGCATGGCTCCCTTCTTTTAAAGAGGGATGGCTAAGTCGGTACACACAGAGGCATAGTGGGCCGCTATTTTCGAGAGCGACGCCTTGCCTCGACAATGATTTTGGACTCCTCCACCTCGTCCAGGACAGGGCGCAGCGCGAGGATGCTCATGACGGCCGACGCATCGGCTTCAAACCTGCACAAGACGCACGACTTATCAGAAAATGGCGAAACAAGGTGTTTTGAGTGGCGGGGAACGCCGAAAAGCTGCGGCACCACATTGAGACATTGAGCTGGAATGATGGACCTTGAGTGTCCCTTGCCATCCTACTATACATGTTTTTCCTGAACCTGCTTCGCATGGCCTTGCGCTCTTTTAATTGCGCACGTTGCCAAGTCTAGTTGCTCCCTCGCCAGGGATAGCTCCACGACAAAGTGAAAACGATTGCTCAGGGGGAGGACAGCTTTGGAAGGAGGGCCGGCTCTCAAGCGGCGACGGTTTGCTTTTGAAGAGCACATGGTGCCTAGAGTCCGGCGGCCTTCGTCTCATTGGCCATAGATCAACCCATCCTGCACCCGTCAACGACCTGCAGGCTGCTTCTCATGTGGATCACACAGCCGACGACGACGAACGAAACGTCAGCGTCGTTTAGAAATGACGAGGCCTGTCGACGAAGGCTGCGTCGCTCACTGGTCGCTGCAGGTCTGCAGGAGGATAACCGCGGACGCCTTGTCCGCAGCAACGCGTCCGAAGGAGTGGGAGTTGCTCAAGCTGCCGCTGCAGGATGACAGGACGGTGACGTCAGCTTCTACAGACACGTGTACGAGCCCGGGCCACAGTTGATGGGGTGTGAAACTCAAAAGCAAAAGACCTTCCGACGCAACTATCCTAATTTTGAACGCATATCGAATCTTACATATTTTTGGAGAATGAAGACGCATTCTGAAGACGGACTGTCAAGGAAGACAGAGGCTTGAGCACCAACAGGCGGTCGGCTACCAGTCAGATTTGCACTCCTCCAAATTTTGACTATCAGAAAAGATCTTGAAGGCCTGTGTCTGGACCACGCTTCCAAGAAGGGGGGATGTACGCTACCACTTATCAATGGGGTTCGAGAATCATTTCCTCATCATCGTGGCAGGGGTTGAACAAGGCACCCGCACCTTCGTGTTAGAATGTCCAGCTGTGGGCACTCAGCCGCATACGACTGGACCAGCTTGTCGGCCCTGGCACGGTTGTGCTCCGACAACAGAAGCACCGTCTGGCGCCTGCATCCAATCACCAGTTAGTGGCTGCAAAAAACGTACTCCACTTTCCGGCGCAAACTACTTGAAGGTGCTCCGCTCCGGGGTCCAGCCATTTGGTCCGCCCACAGTAAACGTGCGACGCTCGGCATGCAAGACGTCAGAAGGACATGCATGCCGCCGCAGAGAGTGCCGACGTTTCAGATCGAGCCTACGGATGCCAGAACGACAGTCGGAAGTGCCACAAGCACGACTGACCTCTCAGCACAACTGGTGTTGTGTGGCAGAGGAAGATAAAGTTTGTCCAAAAAGAAATTCCAGCTCCAAACGGGCCACCCACTCAACACCGGAACTCCAGGTTCACTACAGACCCCCAACTTAAGATGAAATGTTCCACAGATCCCCACAGAAAAACCCTTAAGCAGCGCAAAGATTCAGAAGCAGAAAGGCTCTTCACCTGGTCTTAGCGGCACCGTCCCTGATCTTGAATTCGTGCGACTTGCTGAGCTGGCGCAGCAACGGGAGAAGGTGATCGTTGGTACCGGCCACCACGATGTGATCCCGCTCCATCACCTTTGTATGCGCGCCCTCCCGCAGCCACTCCATGCGGCTCTGCAACCAGGCGCGTTTTTGCTGAGAGTTCGGCTTTTAACCTTATTTTTGCGCCTCTGTTCTCACAAGCGCAGTCTTGAGTCTTTTGACTTTCTGTGACGTCAAATTCGCGGATCACACAAGTGAACACAACCACACATTCCAAGTCTACGTTTAACTCGTTTGAGTGACCACGCAGGGTTTGTTCGTGGAACGAATTACAAGAGAAGTAAGGGGGAGTTGTCTCACAGTTCCAGGGCTCTCTGAAACCTCTAAGCGACGAAGGGCACAGGGTCGACTCACTTTGAACGATGCGGTCATAGTACTGGTGAGCAACGAGTAGCAGAAAAGCCCCCCCAGGGCGAGCATCAAACCGACCGCCCGACCACTGAAGCTCTTCTCCTGCACCGAAGAAACACATACGGTTCAAAAGCAAGCGCTGGTCTACATGATTCTACGAGCTCTGCTTGACATAGCAGCCAGGAGGGAGATATGTCTAATACCATCAGTGCTCAGACTCTCTGACAATGGCGTAGAGATTCGCAATCTGGGCAAAAGTGCACCCTTTCCAGGTTCTAAGACCGGAGATGAGGTGAAACAGGCTATATAGAAGTCTCGTTCATTAGATTCGTACGTGGATGTTTACGAGCCCGGGCGATTCAGGGGCCACCTTGTGTTTCAAATAACGACAACTTTGAGCAGTTTTGAATCGCAGCAGCGGGACTCTGGCCAGTATATTCAAGGTCACAGCACTGACCTTTACGTGGCTACTAGACGCGCACAGGCAGCTCCAGGCGTCCCACACGCTATCGCCAAGGCTCTTGCGACGGTGATCCCTGCGAGCGGCAAATAAAAAACCAATCTAACCAGGCGCCAGATTTGAATCTGGAAGGGACTCGTCAGGAGACAAGATTCACTGAGCTCGCGTGCAGACGGAAGACTGCAGTCGCAAATCCATACCCGTTGGTGGCTGTGTCCCCGTCCCGACGCGACGTTTGGCACAACGGTATGAGCGCTTCTCACCTGAAGTGGTTGAACATGACGCCTCCTGCGAACACGAGGGACATGCAGATGGCAAACAGCAGCAGCGTGTACCTGCACATCAGAAAACGACGCTGAGTCTCGCCGAGTCAAGATGCCTGGAATTTGCTCCGTTTTCCTTGCCCGATCAGTCACCACTCGCTGATGGCAGATAAAGGGCTAATGTGCATTTCTTCGGCAGACCGGTAGGGAGCCGTGCGTCTTGGGTTGTTTGGCCACCGTTGGCTGGTCTTATCCCTCGTTCTGGCCCCCACCAAGCTGATTTTCCCATGTGCATAGCAACATGTGAGAAACTTCGGTATTTCCAATATCCCCAATAGCGTCACCAAGCGCCTCCAGATTCTCGACTCTTCTGGGTGAGGCATACCAGCTCGTGACCAGCTCTTTCCGCCTTTCCTGTTAGAAAAGACTACTGATTGTCCCAGCCAAAAGAAAGTCCAACTGATAAGAGATGGTAGTCGTGAATTGATGGCAACAACTGGGAAGAAAGCCCGTTCAAAGAAAAAGGCGACAAAACCTGCCCGAGAATCTTACGTGAAGGGGTGCTTCTCCAGCAGCACATCTGCCAGGTACGACACCCTTCCCAGGTACCACTCTGCTGAGGGCCAGCTGAGCGCAGCCGCAAAGGCTGCCGCAAAAGAATGGATCGGCAGCCGCTCGCCCGGGGGGTTTGGATACACGGTCTGGAGGGAGGGGGGCTGGCTGGCAAAGACCGCAGCGGCTGCTGAGGCAAAGATGGAAGCGGCTGCTAGGCGGCGGGTCAGGACAACTAGGGTGGGGAGGGCGACAAGGATGGTGAAGGCCAGGAACGAGAAAAGAGCGAAGTTGGGGCCCTGCAAGACAGTGGAGCACGAACATCAGCGCTTGACATACATTTCGCAGCAGTTTGGCCGGTGGTCCTTGAAGAGGGCGTCACAGGACCGGTCCTACATGACGTCAGCCGCGTACGGCGAATTTCGATCGCGCCACGATTCTGCCCGTGTGACGTTGAAATTCAAAACTGTTGTGAGCCCGATCTGCGCGGCGTGCGGAAAAAGAGAAAAAGTTGCTCCGGCCAAGTTTCAATCGCTTGATTTCTCGGCGAAGGTTGAGCGCGCTTGCCAGTTGTGCTAGAAATCTGTGTGCGCCCGAGTTGGAGCGGAAAGTCACCGCTCGGGCCGGTACATGAACTCTGACGCCCTCTTTAACGAAGGATGCGACAGGGCGATATCGCCTTTTGGCTTCAAGATTTGGTTTTCAAGCAAACTTTGGGAGGGGGTCTTATGAAGGGGCCACCAAAAAGTCCAAACGATCCAGCCAAAAAAGGGAGCCAGCCTCATCAACTGAGAAGAGGCAAGATTCTGCATGGAGGGCCCAAGTGATCTGGTGGCTGGAACATGGAGAAACAACATTACTTCCAAGTCATGGTGTGTGTGGGCTCCACACCGATTGCTTTACGCTTTTGGATCTTCGTAACTTTCAGATTCTGAAAAATTTTGGGGGGATCTAAACTTGGACACCGCTTGGGACATGCACCTGGCTCTCCTGAACTTCGAAGCATTTGCTAGGGCCCTTCTAGCGACGGGGAAAAAGAACAGGAAAAAAGGTTGGCTGTGACAGAGCAAAGTATCACTTACCAGGGACCTCGGATCTCTTGCCCCATGAACGTCTGGGTCACTGGGCTGTGCTCCATCCGGTGTCAACTCCTCCTCTGGCGTTGGATTCGGTTCAGACGCAAACTTGCCGTCAGCGGCAGCGCACTTTGTTTGCGCACGTCTGCCGAATCCTGCTCTGCGTTGATTGGACGCAGGACCGATGGACGGGTGGTGCGATCTTTGGAAGTTTGCTCTCCTGCTACAGTCTGCAGAGAAGTCAACGGAAAACTTAAGGAATCCTGGGTAGATATTGAAAAGTGTTGCGCTGATTGGTCAATAACAACTGTCCATACTCCAGAAACAAGGGGCTCAGAAATGATAGGGGCTGCCTTGCAATCGGTGGTGGTCAAAAGCTTACAAGATCTCAACGTCCTATGGAGTACGGGGGAACAAGGTTTTGTTGGCCCAACTTTATTCTCACCAGAAGGCCGGGCGGTGCGCGACCTTGCATTTCTGTGGTCGCTGCAGCAGAAGGGAACAACAATCAGGCGATCTCTGCATGACTACGAACGACAATCCCTCTAGGATCGCCCAGTGATATTTTCCTCGGCCAGATCCTGAACAGTTCAAAACTACATGCGTATGCGCAACAGACATTTCGTTTTAGGACCATCAAATGAGTGTCAGAACGATTGGAGACGGAGGAGACTCCAATACAGCAAGTTGCACCAAAAGACCACCTCTTGAGGGTACACTAGTTGCAGGAGAGCAAAATTGAAACAGACATGCCCGGCCATCGATCACCGCCATCCTCAAAAGAGCCAGCTCCGTAAGACTTTGTCAAGAATATGGCCATAATTCTGAGCCAGGACAGCAGCAGCATTCAGAAGAGATATCGCGAAGCACAGAAAGTGAACACATTGCTCACGAGATATTGCTTTTCCTCCTCAGTTCACAGAATTGGAGCAACTGTCCCCGCACTGCAAGACTGCCCCCGAACCCTGGGCATGAGCCGTTTCGTGGCTGCCTTGCGTACACCACCTGCTTCCCAAGGCCTCTGGTGACTTGCCAATATGCTCGGGGGCATGCAAGAGTCGCCATGACAAGTGTCGACTTATGATTGTCCGAGTGCTACCCGGCAAAACTGAATCCCATGTTTTAGGAAGAGCTTGGTGAGCAATCATGCGCACTTTGCACTTTGAGATCCGTCAGATGTTGGGGACTCTACTCCCCTGCCTCTGCATCCAACAGTTGCAAATTCCGCTTCAAACAGCGTGCTTGTGTCAAAGGCGAAATATTGACAAGAAGCGCGCAGGAGGTTGACAATGATATGCTAACTGCACGGCGTATGGACATTGTAACTCCGGCGCTGCTGCCACCAGAGGGCTGCTGCCCCACAAATCATGCAGATTGGTCAAAACAGAACGTCTCCAGCCGCTGCTCATCCTGCCGCCTGGGCTCAAGCAATGCGGCCGACTCATTCTTCTGACTGAAGTTCTGTCTTGGTGGCATGCAGCTGGCGCGAGGATGGCGCGCTATTGCGACGCGCGGCCGCAGCTGACTCTGCCATGCTTCCCGCGCGGCGCCGGCCGGGCCGCCGCGGCGCCGAGCTGAGCCCGGTGACGGTATTAGTACGTACCATCGGTCCGAATTACCGTTACGTCGCACACGGGGCTTCATCAAAAAGGAGAATGGTCAATCTTTCGGTCACTATCTAACACATCAGAAGTTGATTTCTAATGGTGGACCTTTTTTCATTTCAGATATCGTCAGGAAGTTTGAGTACGGCGGCAGTATAAAATTGACTTTTCTGGAGGAACGTGAACTGCGGGCGAAGTACGATGCCAATATTGCAAAACTTGAAAGTATTGGTCTCACTCATTGAATGCATTCCGCTCGGCTGGCGCGCCATTATTTCTACCAAGGTGAGACAGCCTTTTGCACAGCATGATTGGATCGTTGAAAGGAGATATGTGCAGCATCCTACTACTCGCTATCCGGCATTTGTATACCGTGTAGCACAATGTCTGTCTGGGAAGGTCATTGCTCTCAAATTTACAATCGACCCTGCAAATGCAATGATTCGCCGAATCTCGCCCGAAACGCATGCTACACTATCTAAAGCTCATATAGTCAAAGCTTCGAA